ACCCTAACCTGCACTTCCCTGGGCACTATGGGTAATTTAGCACGGCCCATCCACCCTAACCTGCACTTCCCTGGGCACTATGGGTAATTTAGCACGGCCAATCCACCCTAACCCGCACATCCCTGGGCACTATGGGGTAATATAGCACGGCCCATCCACCCTAACCCGCACATCCCTGGACAGTATGGGTAATTTAGCACGGCCAATCCACCCTAACCCGCACATCGCTGGACACTATGGGTAATTTAGCATGGCCCATCCACCCTAACCTGCACATCTTTGGAGGAAACAAGAGCACCCAGAGGAAACACACACAGACACGGGGAGAATGTGCAAACTCTACACACAGACAGTTGCCCCGAGGGTGGAATCGAACCTGGGTCCCTGGCACCATGAGGCAGCAGTGCTGACCTCTGACCCCACCACGCAAAGTGTAGGTATGTAAAGACTGGTTCCAGTTCTATCCTTCGTGGACTATCTTTCGGGAACACAACAGCAGATGACCGACTTCTTTTTTTAAACACTTCTGCAACCGCTTTCGAAACACTGCTACCTCATCCAGAGTACTGGATCCAATTTCTGCACCCAACCTCAGGAAGGACATTACGGCACGGCAGGAAAGGTCTGACCAGATGGCTCTGGGGGCTGAGAAAGGGTCAGAATACAAGGACGAGAAGGTTGAGGGGAGATTTGATTGCAAAACTGCAAAATGATCAGGACATAGAACAAAGAGATCCAGGGGTGCGGGTACATAGTTCCTTGAAAGTGGCGTCACAGGTAGACAGGGCGGTGTAGAAGGCATTTGGTACACAGTTCTGAGGAAGGGTCACCGGACCCGAAACGTTAACTCTGATTTCTCTTCACACATGTTGCCAGACCTGCTGAGATTTTCCAGCAACTTATATTTGTGTTTGTAATTTACAGCATCCGCAGTTCATTCAGTTTTCGTTTGGTACGCTTGCCTTCATTGGTCAGCGCATTGAGTATAGGAGTTAGGAGGTCATGTCGCGGCAGTACAGGACACTTTTGGAATACTGCGTTCAATTCTGGTCTCCCTGCTATAGAAAGGATAGTATTAACCTAGAAAGAGTGCAGAAAAGATTTACTAGGATGCTACCTGGACTGGAAGGTTTGAGTTAGGAGGAGAGTCTGGGACTTTTTTTTTTCCCTGGAGCGTTGGAAGCTGAAGGGTGACCTTATAGAGGTTCATAAAATCATGAGGGGCATAGATAATGCAGATACCCAACAGCTTTTCCCCAGGGTAGGGGAGTGTAAAACTAGAGGGCATAAGTGAGAAGGGACAGATACAAAAGGGTCCAGAGGGGTAATATTTTCACACAGAGGGTGGTGAGTGTCTGGAACGGGTTGCCAGAGGTAGAGGCGAGTTACAATTTTGTCATTTGCGAAACATTTGGACAGGTACACGGATGGGATAGGTATGGAGGGATATGGACCAAACGCAGGCGAATGGGACTCGATCAATTGTGAAAACTGGGCCTGTTTCCATGCTGTAGACCTCTAGGACTCTGCCTTTAGTTGGGGGAATAAACTGGTGGGCTCCGGGGGGGGTTTATTCGCTCGGGGGTTTTAAAAGGAAAAACGGGGTGGGGGGGGGTGGGGATGGAGACATTCACAGGGAAGGAACAGTTGGGGGTCAGGGTGGAGTGCAGGTTATTTGGACAGCTCATGGTAAGCAGTTGCGCTAAAGGGCACAACGCCTCCTTTATGCCATTGTGATACCACCCAGCTTTAGCGATGGTCCAGCTGAGTAGATGCCAAGACACAGCCTGTGCGTGTGGTGGTGGGGTTAGGCAAGGCTCTGGAAACGGAGGTGGTGGGGGGGTGGTGGGATTCCTCTCGGACTGGATCCCAGGGATCTCGTGGGCCGAGGCAGATCCGTGTTGCATCAGTGGACCGGGAATATCTGGGGATTCGGCCCGCGTACGGGGACAATTTAAAACAGTGACAGTTTTCCCCCGGGATGCCAACAGCCAGGTGGTTTGGTGGGGGGTGGGAGGAATGCTCAGGGCTCCTGGCCTGTTTGTTTGCGACCAGCAGCAAGAGCTGGGAACCTGGTTCGATTCCCCACACAGCTCCACCTTTGTCTCTGAACAGAAGTAGACGTTAAAACGAAGTGACAGTGGAGTTAGTGTCCGTACAACTTCCTGCCAAGTCAGATCCTTTCTCCGACAAGGTTTCTCTGTCTCCCGGTACTGTATGTTTCTCCATCTTAGCTGACCCGTTACATTGCGTTGTTGAGTGGGCTATTTTGTCTTCAACAGATCCCTTGTAGCCAAAGTTATGAAAGCAACGGTCCACGTATGTGTTATCTGGCAGGGGCTCCTTCATAGTGTCTTGTTGCAGCAATGCAGCAGTATTAATGCCTGGTCCTGGGAATATAAAAGCAGATTGTTGTTGAAACGGGAAATGTTTTGGTCTACACCCAACTGCATCAATTTAATTTAGCTCAATGTGACGGGCTGCACTTTGGGAAAGGCAAATCAGGGCAGGACTTATACACGTAATGGTAAGGTCCTGGGGAGTGTTGGTGAACAAAGAGACCTTGAGGTGCAGGTTCATAGTTCCTTGAAAGTGGAGTTGCAGGTAGACAGGGCGGTGAAGAAGGTGTTTGGTACGCTTGCCTTTATTGGTCAGTGCGTTGAGTATAGGAGTTGGGAGGGTCATGTTGCGGCTGTACAGGACATTGGTTAGGGCCACTTTTGGAATACTGCGTTCAATTCTGGTCTCCCTGCTATAGGAAGGATGTTGTGAGACTTGAAAAGGGTTCAGAAAAGATTTACAAGGATGCTGGAGGCTTCGAGCTGTAGAAAGGGATTGGGGCTACTTTCCCTGGAACGTCGGAGGCTGAGGGGTGAGCTTATAGAAGTTTATACAATCATGAGGGGCATAGAAAGGGTGAACAGACAAGGTCTTTTCCCCAGGGTAGGGGAATCTAAAACTAGAGGGGCATAGGTATAAGGTGAGAGGGGAAAGATATAAAAGGGACCTGAGGGGCAACTTTTTCACACAGAGGGTGGTGCGTGTATGGAACAAGCTGCCAGAGGAAGTGGTGGAAGCTGGTACAATTACAACATTTATGGATGGATACATGAATGGTAAGGGTTTAGAGGAATATGAGCCAAATGCTGGCAAATGGGACTAGATTCATTTAGGATATCTGGTTGACATGGACGCGTTGGACTGAAGGGTCTGTTTCGGTGCTGTACAGCTCTATGAATCTATTACTAAGTCCAATGCTAACATAATCATCCAATTGATCAGCCTTTGTAGCCTTCAGCATTAAATATAGAATTACACAAAGCATACTTAGCCTCTGAATTTAATGTTACAGCTATACAAGACTTTAGTTAGGCCGCTTTTGGAATATTGGGTGCAGTTCTGGTCACCACACTACCAAAAGGACGGGGACGATTTGGAGAGAGGGTCTGACCAGAATGTCGCCTGGTCTGGATGGTTTTAATTATGAGGAGAGGTCGCATAGACTCGGATTGTTTTCTCCAGAAAGACGGAGGCTATGGGGCAACTGGATAGAGGCATACATAGGGTGGATTGTCAGAGGCTATTTTCCCAGGGTGGAAAGTTCAGCTACAACAGGGCACTGGTTCAAGGCGAGAGGGGAATGCTTAGGGGAGAAGTTTCGGGAAAATTTTTCACCCAGAGGGTGGGGGGGGCGCCTGGTACGCACTGCCAGCGGGTGTGGTGGAAGCAGGCACGTTAGCAACATCTTGACAGTCATAGGGTCACACAGCACGGAAACAGACCTTCGGCCCAACCAGTCCATGCTGAATATAATCCCAAACTAAACTAGTCCTACCTGCCTGCTCCTGGCCCGTATCCCTCTAAACCTTTCCCTATTCATGTACTTATCCAAATGTCTTTTAAATGTTGCAACTATGCCCACATCCACCACTTCCTCAGGAAGTTCATTCCACACACGAACCACCCCCTCTGTGTAAAAAGTTTGCCCCTCATGTCCTTTTTAAACCTTTCTCCTCCCACCTTAAAAAATATACTCCCTGGTCTTGAAATCCCCCACCCTAGGGAAAAGACACCTACCATTAACCTTATCTAAACCCCTCATGATTTTGTAAACCTCTATTAGGTCAACTCTCAACCTCCTACGCATCAGCAAAAAAACTCCAGCTCTATCCAGCTTCTCTTTACAACTCAAACCTTCCATTCCCAGCAACATCCTCTTCTGACCCCTCTCCAGCTTAATAATATGCTTCCTATAACAGGGAGACCGGACTGGGAGGTGAACAGAGGGATGGAAACTGCGAATGGTTAATAAGAAAGAGGGTCTAAATGAGGATTAGGAATCAGTGCAGCTTTGGTATTTATATAATCTTCTAAATTAATCTAGTTCCATTTCCCTCTAAACCAAATTGTATTTGAACGTCCAACTAACTTCTGGAAATTGTCCCCCCTCCACCTCCTCCGAAGCGTCAAGGCCAACACGTTTCACATCCACCACTCACCAACGGCTGCCTTTTGCTCCCTCGGCCCTCCATTCACCGTGAACCATACTCACCAAAGTAGCTGAGGAGTACAGGCAGGAAGACCAGGCCATGAACGAGGCCCAGTAAGGTGATCACCAGGTTGAGGCGGAAGAAGAAGACCTGGATGAGTTGCGACTGAGCGAAGTACAGGACAATAATCCCGGGAAGGTTGGTCATCGCCACGCCTGCAAAGACCTGAGGGAGGGGAGGTAGAATCAATTGTGAAGCTTTGACGGCAGTGGACGGAGGTTAAGTCGAGAGGTCGCCATCTCTGCTGACCCCACAGCGAGTCATCCTCAATCCCAGAGGCCTCGGCGAGCTGGTGGCTCAGCCCTCTGCCCTAGGCCCAAAAACCACACAACACGTGCCCCCTCCCATCCCCCGACATGACGCTATGGGACCGCAGCCCCTACCTACCGCGCTGCCCATGGTGTAAGTGGCCTCCTTTGCACGTTCCACCTTATTCTTCTTGGTGCTGACGGCGAAGGAGCGCGTGAGGTGAGAGACAAACTCCACGGAAATGCCGACTGCCTGGAGGGGTTGTTGGGGGGGTGGGTGGAAAGAACAGATGTCAAAATGAGACCTCGGTAGGAGGGGGGTTGGGGGAAGAAGTACCAGGAGTTGCCGGGGTTGGGGAGGGAGAGGCCGTAGAAAGTCAGGACTCGTGGCATTGCCAGTCACCACCTCACAGAGAGGGCCGATAGCGACGACAAACTGGCACAGCAGCAATTTTATAAACCCATGTCCCGTCTTCAGAAAGAGGTTCAATGCAGGGACGTGTGAGGCAAAGCACTCTGGTTGGAAGAACGTTGAAAGAGAATATTAAAAAGGGGTGTACAAGGGCGGGCATGGGGGTCAGTAGTTAGCACTGCTGCCTCACGGTGCCAGGGACTTGGATTCAATTCCACTCCCAGGGCAACTGTCTGTGTGGAGTTTGCACGTTCTCCCCCATGTCTCCAATTTCCGGGCGCTCTGGTTTCCTTCCCACAGTCCAAGGATGTGCAGGTTAGGGTGGATGGGCCGTGCTAAATAACCCATAGTGCCCAGGGACGTGCCGGTTAGGGTGGATTGGCCGTGCTAAATTACCCATAGTGCCCAGGGACGTGCGGGTTAGGGTGGATTGGCCGTGCTAAATTACACATAGTGCCCAGGGATGTGCGGGTTAGGGTGGATTGGCCATGCTAAATTACCCATAGTGCCCAGGGACATGCAGGTTAGAGTGGATCGGCCATGCTAAATTACCCATAGTGCCCAGGGATGCGCAGGTTAGGGTGGATGGGCCATGCTAAATTACCCATAGTGCCCAGGGACATGCAGGTTAGGGTGGATTGGCCGTGCTAAATTACCCATAGTGCTCAGGGACGTGCAGGTTAGGGTGGATTGGCCGTGCTAAATTACCCATAGTGCCCAGGGACGTGCGGGTTAGAGTGGGTTGGCCGTGCTAAATTACCCATAGTGCCCAGGGACGTGCGGGTTAGAGTGGATTGGCCGTGCTAAATTACCCATAGTGCCCAGGGACGTGCGGGTTAGGGTGGTTTGGCCGTGCTAAATTACCCATAGTGCCCAGGGACGTGCAGGTTAGGGTGGTTTGGCCGTGCTAAATTACCCATAGTGCCCAGGGACGTGCAGGTTAGGGTGGATTGGCCATGGGAAATTGCCCCCTGGTTTGCAGGTTAGGTGGGTTAGCCATTCAGAAATGCAGGGTTACAGGGATAGTGCACCACTTTACAGGAAAGATGGGAACGCATTGGAGAGAGAGCACGTAAGCAATATACAAGGATGCTTCCAGGGATGAGGAGCATCAGCGATGAGGATAGATTGTAGAAGTTGGGACTGTTCTCCTTGGAGAGGAGAGGGGATCTGATTTTCAAAATCAGGAGCGGGGACTGGACAGAGTGGAGAGGGAGAAGCAGTTCCTGTTTGTAAAAAGAAGAGGGGAAATAGAATTAAAACGATGGCAAACGAAGCAAGGGTGCAAGAGAACTTTCTCACCGAGCGAGCGGTTACGGTGTGGAATGCACTGCCTGGAAACATGGGGGAGGCAGGCTCAACGGACGCATTGGAGAGGGGCATCAAGGGAGGAATGGCACGCAGGGAAGTGCGGGCGATTTTGTAACGGTTTGCAAACCGTAGATTTTGTTTTTAGGAGTGGTCTTACTTTACGAGCAGCTGTGACCCCTGCCCAATTCAGTGCGGGAAGCAGGGTGGTGGGACAGGCTGGAATTGTTGCCCTTGATGGGCCTTTTGGAGAGTCCGAATGGCGAGAGAGAGACAAAACGTGGTCACGCGCCGAAGACTGCGAGTCCCTCACCGTCACGAGATTGATGAGGGACACGGCGTTGTACTGAATGTCCCACAGGGTCATCACCCCGACTGTGTCCACAATAATCATCATGATGGTGATCAGGTTCAGGAATCCCGAGTGAATGTCCATTCCCAGCAGGATGCAGCAGACCACAAACGTTGGGATCAGGCACAGTCCAATGTTGAAGAGACCCTCATTCACTATCGTCAGGTACTGCTCGTAATATACATAGGTAATCCTGTGATCCAGAGAGACGGACACAACACTCTCAAGTGATGTCCCCCATCGGCTCAGAGGCTGGGAATCCCGCAGCAAGTAATCCCCCAACTCTCCCCCCATCCCCCCCCCGCCCACCAAAGCTTGTCCAACCATTGACAAATCAGGAGTGTGATGGAATACCCTCCACTTGCCCCGGATGGGGGCAGCTCCAACAACACTGGAGAAGCTCGACACCATCCAGGGACAAAGCAGCCCCCTGCTCGATTGGCCCCACATCCACAAACATCCCACTCCCCCCCCACCACCGACGCTCAGTAACAGCAGCGTGTACCGTCCACAAGATGCACCGCAGCAAGGCTCCTCAGACAGCACCTTCCACACCCACGACCCAATTCCATTGAGATTGAAAAGGCACATAAGGGGCAAATTTTTTCATGCAGAGGGTGGTGCGTGTATGGAATGAGCTGCCAGAGGAAGTGGTGGAGGCTGGTACAATGACAACGTTTAAAAGGCATCTGGACGGGTACATGGATAGGAAGGCTTTAGAGGGATATGGGCCAAATGCTGGCAAATGGGACTAGATTGATTTGGGACATCTGGTCAGCACGGATGAGTAGGACCGAAGGGTCTGTTTCCATGCTGTACAACTCCATGATTGTATAAGGGAGTACTCAGTGAATAGGCAGGACTCCAAGATGCTGAAGGCAACCGCATGAGTTAATTGGGTGGTTAAGATACAGGACAATTTATCAGTCGTGGTATAGGTTATGAGAGCAGGGAGGTTAACGTTGGAGCTGGACAGGACTTTGGTGAAGCCACAGCTGTGTGCAGGTCTGGTCCCCGCACTATAGGAAGGATGGGATTGTACCAGAGTGGGGGGCAGAGGGAGATTCACCACGATGTTGCCCGGGATGGAGCAGTTTCACGATGGAGAGAGGCTGGATAAGCTCGGGTTGTTTTCTTTGGAGCAGGGAAGGCCGAGGGAGGCGGCCTAGTAGAGATGTGCAAGATTATGAGGGACAATGGATGGGGAAGGGGAAATAGAAAGCAGCTGAGTTGAAGGAGGGCTCACGACTGTAAAGTTAAAGGCAGGAGGTTGAGATGGGATTTGAGGAAATCAGTCGTCACCCAGTGGGAGGTGGGGGTCTGGACTGTCCTGCCTGCGAAGTGGGAGTTAGATCATAGATCGTAGAAAATAATAGAATCCCTACAGTGCGGAAAGAGTTGAGGCGGGAAACCTGACAGCCTTTAAAAGATGAGCACTTGAGGTGTCCCAACTTTCAAGGCTTTGGGCCTAGTGCGGGAAAGTGGGACGGGTGCATTTTTTGGCGGGAGAGGCATGACGGGCCGAAGGGTGTCCGCTGAACTGTATGATGCGTTCAGTCTGGGTAAATCGAACACGGCGAACGTCCATCGCATAATCAAACACAGAACGATGGAGCCCACCTCACTATCAACAGCAGGAGTGACGGTACAGAGAGGGTGTTACCTCAGGCTTGAACCTCGAATGGAAACTCACGTGTAGGGGAAGACTTCAAAGTTTGGATCAGTTCCCGGGACTTCCCTGGTACTCTTTGTGATGTTGGCAGCAATCTCACGGGCTACCTTCAGAGCAGCAGTGTATTCTTGTGAATTTTTCAGTGGAGTGTGGTAAGCCATGAATCTGGAGGCTGAGCAGCAAAAACGCGTCTGAGGTTATACATTTCCCTTGTAAATCTTTTCTGAACCCTTTTCAAGTTTCACAACATCATTCCTATAGCAGGGAGACCAGAACTGAACGCAGTATTCCAAAAGCGGCCTAACCAATGTCCTGTACAGCCGCAACATGACCCTCCCAACTCCTATACTCAATGCACTGACCAATAAAGGCAAACGTACCAAACACCTTCTTCACCGCCCTGTCTACCTGCGACTCCACTTTCAAGGAACTATGAACCTGCACCTCAAGGTCTCTTTGCTCAGCAACACTCCCCAGGACCTTACCATTACGTGTATAAGTCCTGCCCTAATGTGCCTTTCCCAAAGTGCAGCCCCTCACATTGAGCTAAATTAAACTCCATCCACATTTCTGGGATTAAGGCTTGTGAAACGGTTACAGTAGAGGAGGAGTCCCTTTCGTTCATTGTACCTGTGCTGGGAGGTGGACCGAGGTCAGGGTCCCATCATGTGAATGTCAAAAGACTGTCACATCCATCTCATTGGAAATCAAAGCTGTCACTGTATTTTTAAAAAATATGAATCGTTCATAGGACGCGAGTTATCAGTAGCTGGGCCAGCATGAGTCGCTCCTAATTGCCCCCCGCCTTGAGAAGGTGGGGGTGAACCACTGCAGTCCATGTGGTGTAGAGACCTCCACACAGTGCCCTCAGGGAGGGAGTTCCAGGATTCTGACCCAGCGACGCTGAAGGAACGGCCAATATATTTCCAAGTCGGTGACGGTGAGGGGCTCGGAGGGTGAACTTGCAGGGGGTGCTGTTCCCATGTACCTGCTGCCCCTTGTCCTTCTGGATGGAAGTGGGTCGTGGGTTTGGAAGGTGCTGTCTGAGGGGCCTCGGTGAGTTGCTGCAGCGCATCTTGTAGATGGTACACACTGCTGTTTCTGAGCGTCGGTGGTGGTGGGGGAGTGGGATGTTTGTGGATGTGGTGCCAATCGCGCGGGGGGCTGCTTTGTCCCTGGATGGTGTCGAGCTTCTCGAGTGTTGTTGGAGCTGCCCCCATCCGGGGCAAGTGGGGAGTATTCCATCACATTCCTGTCTTGTGCCTTGTCGATGGTGGGACAGGCTTTGGGAGGGAGTGAGGAGGGGAGTTACTCGCTACAGGATTCCCAGCCTCTGACCTGCTCTTGTAGCTGCTGTGTTTATGTGGGGCTGGTCCTGTTCAGTTTGTGGTCAATGGTAACCCCCAGGATGTTGATAGTGAGGTGGGGATTCAGTGATGGGAACACCATTGAATGTCAAGGGGGCGATGGTTAGATTCTCTCTCGTTGGAGATGGTCACTGCCTGGCATTTCAGATTTGTGTTCTTTATTTTGATCTCTGCTGCCTATTTGCCCGCTATTTTTCATTTCTAGATGTTTCCACGGCCTGGGAGTGGGGGTGGGGGACACAGGTTCTGCAAAAGACGCGTTCTGCTTTACCAACGAACATCTTCCCGAGCACTCACCCAAGATTGTGCCATTCGGGTCTCTTTTCACCGCATTTCCGTAAGCTCCCAGACCCCTGGAAAAGAAAAGGTCCTCTTTATCGTAAAAAGAACGTAGAATGTGCTAACAGTTACCTGACATTGCCACCCTGCTCAACCCGATCACAGACATTTCCAAGTCCTGACTCCCTCCTTACATAGAGTCATAGAGTCACACAGCACGAAAACAGGCCCTTCGGTCCAACCGGTCCATGCTGGCCATAATCCCAAACTAAACTAGTCCCACCTGCCTGCTCCTGGCCCATATCCCTCCAAACCTTTCCTATCCATGCACTTATCCAAATGTCTTTTAAACATTGTAACTGTACCCACACCTACCACTTCCTTTGGAAGTTCATTCCACACACGAACCACTCTCTGTAGAAAAAAAAGTTGCCCTTCATGTCTTTTAAATCTCTCCTCTCACCTTTAAAATGTGCCCCCTAGTCTTGAAATCCCCCACCCTAGAGAAAGGACCATTCACCCTCTCTATGCCCCTCATGATTTTATAAACTTCTATAAGGTCACCTCTCAACCTCCAGTGAAAAAAGTCCCAGCCTCTCCTTATAACTCCAACCCTCCATTCCCGGCAACATCCTGGTAAATCTCTTCTGAACCCTCTCCAGCTTAATAATATCCTTCCTATAACAGGGAGACCAGAACTGAACACAGTGCTCCAGAAGAGGCCTCACCAATGTCCTGTACAACCTCAACATGACGTCCCCAACTCTCTGAGGAGGTTCAGAAATTCAGCAAAATTTTACATTAGCCATTCTTACAATTGTGAAAAATCAGAGGTGGTACTGTGCTTATAGAAGGCTTCAGCGCACAAGGCATAGAGTTTATAGATTTCATCTCATCACCCAAGGTTAATTGGCATAGAATGCCGACAGTGTGGAAGCAGGCCATTCAGCCCATCGAGTCCACACTGACCCACTGAAGAGCTTTCCGCCCAGACCCACCCCTATCCCTGCAGCCCTGCATTTCCCCATATCTAATCCACCCTAACCTGTACATCCCTGGGCACTATGGGTAATTTAGCACGGCCAATCCACCCTAACCTGCACATCCCTGGGCACTATGAGTAATTTAGCACGGCCAATCCACCCTAACCTGCACATCCCTGGGTACTATGGGTAATTTAGCACGGCCAATCCACCCTAACCTGCACATCCCTGTGCACTATGGGTAATTTAGCATGGCCAATCCACCCTAACCAGCACATCCCTGGGCACTATGGGTAATTTAGCACGGCCAATCCACCCTAATCTGCACATCCCTGGGCACTATGGGTAATTTAGCATGGCCAATCCACCCTAACCTGCACATCCCTGGGCACTATGGGTAATTTAACACGGCCAATCCACCCTAACCTGCACATCCCTGGGCACTATGGGTAA